GGGTATTAGAAGGGTGTTTGGCCAGCAGGGGGTCGTCCCTCCCCTCCCCTCCGCTGCCCCGCCCCGCCGCCTTGTGATAAAGGCACCATTACTAACAGTCATGCTGTGTTTTGGAAGCTGATCGTATCAGTAGAACTTACTGTTTAGTTCTGCAGATTTGAAAAAAAAAAAAAAAATTAAAAAAAATAGAGCCATAACTTCTAATCAACCTGTGCTGTCATCTGGGGATATCTGATGTGTCTTTGCTGCACAACCAGATAATCTGTGTAGCAACAGGATCGGGTGATACACTAGGGCCTTCGTTTTTCAAACAGGGAGAAAACATTTACAGAAGCAGTTGGAAGATTTAAATGTCATGTAAGCTGATTAACTGTGCTGTTAACGCCAAACGTGATTTTCTGAAGCGTCCGAGCACAACTTAACATATTGTTGATACTGCAATCTCAGAAAGCATGCAAAAACTGAACAAAATTATATTTTGTAAATAAAAGTAAATGCCTCTTCTATACCAATCTTTTCAGTGCAGTTTTCTCTTTTGCTGTTAAGATCAAATATGTTACAAACATGGACTGTTGTGCTGATTTCAAACTTAATGCCTGTGGCTAAACGTTTAGACCTGCGTGAGGGCTTAGCCTGTAAACAAACAGGACATTAATCTTTCTTTTTTTTTCTGTAAGCTGTGTTAGTGTGACTCCTGGTGACTTTTGTAGTATTTTCTTGGCTTACTATGGTGTTTTTAACCAAGTTAAATTTGAACCTGTACGTGGATGTGATAGTAAAAAGAAAATTACTTGCTTTTAGTTAGTTTTGTTGGCTATTTTCTTGTGTAGACGAAACACAAAGTTAGTAAAAGCTTTTGCATCACTCTTTAAGATAGCATGTTAGAAGTTAAGGCCATAAATGTTCTTGGGGGGGAAAAATAATGATGGAATGCAAATTACTTCATACCTGTTTGGAAAATGAAAGGATTTTTGTTTGTATTTTTTTGTGAAAAGCAGTCATGACCAAACTTAAGTGACTAACCAGACTACTAACTAGATTAGCATATATATTTAAAGTGCTTGACACAAAGGACACAAACTGAAAAAAATCAAAACTGTTAGATAGTTTGAGAATGCTTTTATTGTAGATGTGACTGTAAGTCTTTTTTAAGAATTTTTTTTTAGTAATTTGCTGACAGGCTGCTTTTTACCATTCCGGTGGATATGAAATGCTAATAACACATTCTGTCTTGAGTGGTGCAATGAAAGAGTTCAGCAGAAACCAGAAATTTAAGTATTGGCTTGCCTACCTGACTTGTGACTTCTGTGTTAAAATGGTTACTAGCGCACATAGACACTTGTTACTGCTAAAATCTCACAAATTGCATTTTTTTCAAAAAATTATGTTATAAATTGAGATGGGCATTTTCTTAAATACTTATGGATAAGTATAATGTTACATTTGACTGTTCCTCTGTAGGCTAAGCTTGGGCTTTCTATAGCCCAAAGTAAACATAATGAGACCTTCTTGGACCATGTCTTATGTGTTTGTTTTCTTGTCTGAAGATTGTGTGTGGGATTTTTTTCCAATGAACTTTTGTACTTTTTTGGAATGAAAACCATCTGATTTGAGCAAAATTGGGATATCCAAATGGTGGTATGGATAACATCCCTCTGACTCAACATGTATGAGTTCTCATTTGGAGTAGCAATACCACATATTGTTGAAATATAGTGCTTGAAATGGTATCTTTTGAAGCGTGGTTCTTTCTTAGGTCTGTGACCAGTGGAGAATAGAATTTGGAATTCAACCTCAATATGCTTTAAGGACAAGTAAGTTCCAGTGTTAGCCTTGATACATGTGTCTGGGTTTGCTTAAAAGCACAATAGGAGAAAAGTCTCAGTAGAATGAGGTGGGGAAAGTATATTGACAAAGTTGTAAGAGGAAGGTAAGGTACTCTTTTGACTCTTATGTAAGATCAGATGTCTTACGTGTTAAGCTCTCAGATAAATTTCAATGGCTCTCATAGGCATAGAGCAGTATGCTTAATGACTAGCGTGTTTGGTGATCTTCTTACTGGTTTCGTGTAGCAGTGTCTCCTTTTCGGACTGACTTAGCCTTCTGACTGAAATAACAAAAAGTGCCTGTAACTTGTAAATCTGACATCTTTTTGTATAAAGGTAGCTTGCACTGTAGAAGTCTATCTGGTAGATATTTTTATTCCTGTGCTTGCTAGTCATCCCAAAGCATGGATTACCTACCTTCAGCATGCTCATTTCTTGAATAATATTCAAGATACTGAAGATCTTGGTGTAGGTGACCTTTAAAATAGTTCATGTGGATCATAGTCGTAGTGATTAAATTGCTTCCCATGTGACTTGCCAGGTAGTTGTCCAGTACTGCTTGTTCAGGTCTGTAAAATGAGAATCAGTTTGCTGCACTATGCAACACGAGATCCACTTTCCTCCTATAGCACTTCAGACTGTAAAGTGAAGTATTTGGATTTTTTTGATCTACACTTGAGCTTTTGTCTTGCCGCAAAAGTCACCTCTCTCTCAAAATTGGTGCCCTCGGTTATGCAGAAGTGTGATGCTGCTTTTTTTCCATTGGATAAAAAAGTATTGTTGTGTCTATGCCCATGATGATAACCAGAGTGCTTGCTTTCTGCAAATTTATGGAGGTAAAGGCTCACAACTCTGACCTCTGTGCAAATGGTTGTTAGAAATGAAGTGAGTTAGTTCAAGACTGTTTCTGGACTACAGCATATGTTCTGGTGGAGTGTGACTGTTCCATGTTATTCTTGTGAGTGCATCTGCCACAAAATGTGTGCATACAGATTTACTTATTCTGAAGTTTCAGAAATACAGTTGCACTGTGCTATGCATTCCAAGCTGGAATAGAGCAGAAATTTTTGTCTTGTTTAATGTCTTGCTCTAGTCCTCTGTTTCTGCTTACAGGCTCTTCAAGGGTATAAATGTGGTCCTGATGTTTACTGTTTGCTTTGGCAGACAGGAAACTTGAAAACAGTTTTCAGAATAGCAAAGATTTATAATCTTCTGATGTTCTCAGTTTATGCATGTGACTCTGTTTTCACTTCTTTTTGAAGAGCAGGAAACTCAAGTTTATTGATACAGAGAACAGTAAAAATGTACCCATGATTTCTTGCCTTAAGGTTAGCTTGCAATTCATTAAAAACTCAGTTTGCTTTGTTTCAGTTAAATGCAGTGAGCCAGTTTTGCCTTATTCTGCTTTCATCTTCACATTTTGTGACATTTCAGTTCTTTCCCTTACACTATTTTTAACATCTTTTAGACAGAAAAACACAGGCTTTTGGTTGATGCTTGAAAAGCATCAAGTCTCTTTAGAGAGGATTTGAGAGTAAGTTGGGGATTGACTTGCAAATTAAGTTGTTCAGTTCTGGCAGCAAAAGCTGAGTTTACAATTACAAGTCTCCAAAGTAGTAGAAGCTTTCGCACTCTTGAAATGAAAGTGTTTTCCAGTTATGAATTAATTGGAGCTCTACTACAAAACTTAGCCATTTTTCACCAGAGAGACAATAAACCCCACGTTTTTGCTTTCTCTTGGAACCTACTCATTTTAGTGATAGCTTTTGCCTTTATAATTAATTACAGCCTTTGATCAGTAATGCTTAAACTGAAGTCTAGCCACTGATGCATTCTTCAGTGCTTCTCTTCCCTTTGCAAGTCTTTCATGTTGAGGCACTGTGTGACTAGTGAAAACAAGACTTTTTTTTTTTTTTACTTTATTTTTTTCTTTCCTTCCCCTGTTGGGCAACCCAGTGCCGTTATTCCTGGTGTCACATAACGTGGCTCCAGCCTTCTTTGTTATTCTCTGGGGAAGAAACTATACTCTCACCCAGATAGAAACCTGACACAGATAGTAGTCTTGTGAGTAAGATATTCTCCAGCCATGTCTATATAATGTGTAAACTATATCTTTCTGCTTTCAGAAGGGATAAAAGTGTGGTTGAAGTTGGGAGAAAGAGAACCACAATTAGAGAGCAGCTACCTAGGAGCGGCATGTGAAGAAAGAGAAGTTCAAGCGCTTAATTAATGTTACAGGAAAAGCAAGAAATCAAGGCATCTATAGCTATATAGTTAAGCCCTGAAACTGCTACAGGATATCCATCTCAATGTAAGAGAAAGTTACAGAAAGGAAAAATAAGGTGAACTGCTGAGTCACAGCAGCAGGCTATTCCGTCGGTTACTCTTAATTGTTGAATGGGACTATTGCAAAATACGAAAACCGGTGTGGCCAGTTCTCAACAGTTGATCAGCCATCCATCCTTGGAAGTAACAGCAGCAGCTTGCCCAGACCAGGGAGTCATTTGTACCTATGCCTTCATTGTTTTCTTGATGCTTGAGTTCTCTGGGTAATATTCTCATTAGGGTCATTCATTAATTAAAATATAAACTGCTGGGTATCTAGGTGTAAGTGGCAGAAAATTGTTGTGTTTGAAAGTAATATGTACTTAAGTACACTGAGGTTTGGGGTTTTGGGGTTGGTTTTTTTTGAAGGCATATACAATATCTTTTGCAGGTTCCCTTGAAACAAATAATAAAAAATGAGCTGTGTGTTTGCCAGAGAAAATACTTTCAAGGATGTGGATAGCCTGAGAAGTGTGTAATATATGTAAAACATATGCGTCTTGTACCTGTTAAACTTCTGAAACCACCAAAGATGTGACTGAAGAGGGATATTGACAGAAGTTAATTTTAGCCTAAGGAGACCCATCTTTCTCAGCTCCCTTCGTCATCTGTTATCCACCACTTACTTTCTAGGGGGTAATTCCCATTGAGAGCCTGATTTTAGGTGCCCTCAATTATAATTTGAAACTTCTCTTCTACTTCCTGTAGAAGGAACCTAGCAAAGCTAACCATGTGAGGTAAAGTTCAGTTTTCCAAACGGGTCCCACAAAAGTCTACGAACAAAACTTGGATTTGGCAGGAGGAGGAAGAGTGTAAGTCATTTTTTTGTAAGCTTTTTAAGTCATGAACCACTGTGATGTATAGATATGGTTTATTAATAAATGGGAGCAGTATGCCTCTTATTGGTCACATCCAGGTTTGTTTTCAGTTCTGAATATTAAAGGGTAAGCAGGACATAAAAGAGAAGAATTCCTAATTGGATCAACGTTACTGTTTTCTCTGAGTTGAGATGGAACCAGAAAAAGCAAGTCTACATGTCTTCCATACAATATTTACTTGACTCGGAATGAATTCTTGCAGTTAGAATCATCAATGAAAGACCTGAATTTCTTCTGACCTTAAATTCTTGCATAACCTTGGGGATGCATCCTTACTTAGCTTTTTTTTCTTTTTTTTTTCTTTTAGTTACGCCTTAGTCTTTAAGTAGTAGTTCTCCCTGTATAGGACTACTTATGTCTTGTTAGGTAGATAAAGTATAAGCATATCACTAAAGTTTTTCAATACTAATAAGCTGTGTAGGCAAACTTGAAGTTGTACTGGTATAAGAAAATCACAAGTCATAAATGGAACAGTCTTTGCAAATGAAAAAATGGTTTTGCTGGTGGTGTACTTACACAGGGGCTTACACCAGAATACCTGTATGTCTCTGAAGAGCAGAATCCTTCTGTGCACTCCTAGCTATGCTGGTACAATTCTTCTATGAATAAACCAAACCTATATTATGCGTAATAAAAGAAGGAGGGTGTTGTTCAGGATCGGGTAGGCCAAGCAGAATGTTTACCTTTGAAGAAAGGCACAGTATGTGATCCATGCTTTCTTAAAAAGGGAGTGTCATTTCAAACTCTGATGTATATACTTTGTTGCATTTCTGCTTTGAACTTTTTTGTAGGCATGTTCTTGTAAGATAATTATATGTGAAAGCCTTAAGTTCCTTTGGGGTATGATGACTCATTCACTGTGAATGTAATGACTAATGTGACATTTCAGTTTATTTTAAAGAAAACAGAACAAATCCTGCACAAAGACTTTTATAGCTTTTCTTCTTTCTTCTGTGAGATTTAGATGTATGGTGTGTGCACTGTTAATCTCAAAACCTCTCCTCCTTAGTTTCTTTGATCTAATTGATTCTGCTAGGGAAAAAAAATCTTAAAAGTCACTTCTCTAATTTTAAACTGTTTTCCTAGCTATATCAATAGCCAGATGATGCACAAATCTGAGAAGGGAAACTGCTTTGAGCTTCAAGTGCTTAATTGTCTCTTGTCCCTTTTTAAAAAAAAGCTCATCCTTAACTGATATGCTTGCTGGATTGAACATCTGAGTTGAAATACTTTGCATTTGAGTTGTCCAGGTTGGTAAGTGCAAAAGTATCTTATATCACTCCATCTGTATCCCTACTCTTTTTGTCTGTATGGAGTTTGATGCTGCCCTAGACCTGCTAAAAAATGACAGACAAATAATAATTAAACAAAAAAGTGTAAAGCATTAAAACTGTGTTATGGAGGGCTGTGTAATGCCCTTTCTTTTGAGCAGGGACTGAAATGCTGGTAGCCCACCTCTCAGCTAAATCCTCTTACTATGGAACGATCGACCCACCTGCCTCTTCCCAGAGCCAGTAATATATTAAAGTATATATTGGAGCAGTATCAGTGGAAGAGAATGAGGTTGTTCTACTACCATATACTTGGGAGCAGATGTGAGGGGTGGCATACTTTTTTTTTTGCAAATGGAGAAATTGTGAATAGCACTCCACCCTCTGCAGGGAAATTAATGTAGGGGTCTCGAATGTTTTGTGCATGCCACAGCAAATGAGCGTTGAGTAGAGCGATGGGACTGTGCTATTGTGTAAGTGATGTGGGAACAAATCTTGGAAAAGGGATGTCTGTTTGAATTTCCAAACAATCTGGAAAAAGCTGAGATCAGTCCTCTTAATTGAATTAATCCATTCCTAGATGGTTAAATTGGAAAAAGGAATGTTAACGACTGTGAATTATGTCCACAATAGTCACAGCCTGCTTTAGGAAACAAAAATTTTCATTTTAAATTTACTACTAAATCAATAAAAATATTATGTATCAAAACATTATGCATCAAAAAATACATAAAAACATGCATGAGGTGTCTTTTAAATAGGAAGACGAGTACATACATTAAATTATGACAGAAATGGATGTTGCAAATAATAAAGGGTAATAACAATAACAAGAAGGGCACAACAATATAAAACAGTAAATCAACATTGCTTTTTGCCTTGCTTTCTCTTTGCACAATAGAGAATATGACTTAATACTTAAAATTGCTTTCAGAATCCTACCATAGGTAAGTTATAGGCTCTCTGATGGGATATTTCTCCAGATTTTTAGGCAAGTGTGTTGGAGCCTGCTAGTAATGTTGGCTGGAATTTTTAAAAAGGTAACTTTTTCTTCCCTTCTCTCTGTATTGTAACTAAGCAGGTATGCTCTTAGTGATTATCTGACTTAAGCACTTCTTTTATTGTTTAAAATCTGTAGAGTTCATCCCAGAAAAATTGAGCTTCCTGTGTTTTGTCTGAGAACTCCACCGGTGTGTGGAGTAAAAAATACAGTATAGATATTTTGAGTGTTAGATGATAATATTATGAGAAGGATCAAAATATGTGTAATGTCAAACTTCTCACTTCCCATCTGGTGAGTGATAAGGCTTCATGACAGAGAATCTCAGGCTTGCTATCCTTTGACAGCTTTTTTTAGTGTTTAAAGAAAATATTTATTGATACATTTGCCTGTGTAAGTAGTACCTTTCTAATGTGTTAACTTTCACGATTATTTTCTTCACAAGTTCATATAATACACAGCATCATTTTAATATTCAAGTGATCTTACATTTGATGTACATTCAGAATACTGAAATATGGGCTTCAATGGATTAATGTACTCAGTTCTCCTGAATATATAATACAGGAATATAAGTGAGCGCAGCAAGAAGCAAGGGTTGATGACCAAAGGCTTTGAAGGGGTGGAAACATAGGTTTCTTTACACATATTGCAGAATTCAGAGGGGAGAAAAGATTTCTTGGTTTTGCGATAAGTTTCTCTATAAAAATTGGATGTTCTGGTTGTCTCAGAAGTGAGTGAAAATTTTAACAAAAAAATAAGAAAATAGAAGTCAGATTTTCCACAGAATGACAAAATTTTCTTGTCTATGGATAAAAGTTAACCTTGTCAGTACAAACTTAAGCAATATTTTTATGTTTATTCTGGAGCAAGAGTTGTAGTCATAATGAAAGTTTGTGTCACTTCACAAGTATGCTTTTGCAGATCCACAGTCTACTTGATGACTTCTGTTGCGGCCTTTCAGTACCTAAAGGGGGCCTATAGGAAAGATGGGGAAAATCTTTTTAGTAGGGCCAGCTGTGACAGGGCAAGGGGTAATGGTTTTAAACTAAAACAGGGTAGGTTTAGACTAGATATAAGGAAAAAATTATTTACAGTGAGGGTGGTGAAACACTGGAACGGGCTGCCCAGAGAGGTGGTGGAGGCCCCATCCCTGGAAGCGTTCAAGGCCAGTTTGGACGGGGCTCTGAGCAACCTGATCTAGTTAGCGGTGTCCCTGCTCACTGCAGGGGGGTTGGACTAGATGACCTCTAGGGGTCCCTTCCAACCCAAAACATTCTATGATTCTGTGATCTGTGAATGCTTTTCCATTTCTGTACTTTTAATATTAAGATAGCTTTACTATCCTTTAGGTGGCTTTGGTCTATTTTTTTCTGGAGTTGTGACTGGGCTGGAGTGTGGTGGCATGGGTCCTCTTGTGAATACTCTTTAAAATAAATTAGGAGAGACATGGGAGGCAATCATTGACAGTTACTCCACTTCATACTCCTGCCTAAGCTTTTTACACGTGATTTATGTTTGTAAGAATTTCAATGCAAGGAGACCTGTGAAGTTAGTTAAATGTAGAGGGGTTACATGGAGGCCT